AACCTTCAGTTTGTCACACTTCTCGGACACTTTAAACTCTTCCCAAGCTCGGGCTCTGGCCTTAGCCAGCTTAGCCTCATATTCCTTACATTTTTGCTCAAGCTTAAGCTTTACCTCCTCGTCCTCATCATTGGACACCACTACCTCTTCTTGAGCCTTCCTCAGCTCGTTCCTGGCATCATCGTGCTCTTTCAAAATGGCATCATGCTCAGCCTTCAGATCATCCAGCTTTTTATCCCTCAGCTCGACGACCTCCACGAGTTCAACCATTTTATGGGACTCGTCCATCCCTTGCAGAGAAAGGCCTCGGGCAATGCTCAAGGTCTGTCAATAAGAAGAACATGTGTTAACGTCAAGCAAATTACTTCCATATTCTGAACAAGGTTGAGATCTTTACCTTTAAAGTAAGGAACTCGAGGGCTTTTATCCCTTCGTCGGACTCCACATCACCTCGGTATTTGGCCACAATGCTCGGGACCAGGTGGCAACGTCAAAGTCTTCAATGACTGAGGCCACTAAGGGTATACAGTCATCCTCGAGGTCAACGACCTCGAGAGTACGACGATGAGGAAGCTCCATTGGGGATGAGATTGTTGTCGGGAAGGCCTTTGGCTCGAATTGGTTTTCGAGCCCATGAACTCTCTCTCCCTGTCCTCTTGGGGGTTCATCACGTTTCGAGACCTGAGTTCTCTTATTTCCCTTTATCGAGGCTACAACCTAAAGCTGAGGTACCTTCGCTTTAGCATTTACAAACTTATGGAGGGCAGACACGGCAAAAGACATCCCTACAAAGAAAAAGTTGAGTAATTAGTTCGATCATATCGTCAGGAATGTGAACACGAGAAAAGAAAGAGTAAAGCCCTACCCTCGACACCTCTCACATCAGTAAGATCTAAAACTTTATCTCCAAGGATGGCCTTCATATTCGGTATCAAAAGATCAAGCACCTCAAACATCTTCCTATCTCGTTCTAGAGACTTAAAGTAAGCCTGACCCTTATAGAACTTAGCAGCGTCGAGAATCCCCCACCTCGACCAAAAGAGCAGGTCGTGATCTCGAATGACTGCATAAAACCACTTATTTTTCCAACCCATTAGTGATCTTGGCATGCTTGGGACCATAAACCCACATCGAGTTGATAACTATGCAAAATATGTGAACTTGGGGAGCTGCTTGAGCTCGAGCACCATTCGACAAAGGTCAAGATAAATCTCGATGCCTAAGTACCTACAAGCTATGAAAAAGTAAATGAGCATCCTCCAAGCATTGGGCACTAACTGCCCCGGGCACATGGAGTGCTCGACTAAAAGGCCTATAAAAAAAGGGTACAAGGGCCACCTAAACTCGACCTTCAAAGTATCCCTGAAAATAACAAACTCTCTGTCCCAAGCCTGCACCATCCTATCGTCAAGGTCGGGAGACCTAATATTGCAGCTGGGCATTAACCCAAATTCTCAAATAGTACCACAGCTAGGTGTTCTTTAAGCCTACAAGGTTTGTTGGGAGACTTAAACTCGACGTTACCTTGGTGCCTAGGTTGGGCATCTAAAGGGATAGCCATTGGGATCATCGATGTTCATATGTCCTCACTACTGTTCGAACTACCAAAACCCCGGTTACCCTTACCACTCGATGAAAGATAATAAAATAACTTAAGGTCTCAAGCTTTACCTCAAAATCACTTGAAGCCCCAAACAATTCCTAAAGTATTTTGCTCGAGCATGACCTTGTAGAGAACTTTTAAGGCAGAGTGAAAAGTGAAAAATGAATGGTAAAATGAAGTATATATAGGTGTTGAACTGGAAACCCAAAGGTCATCATATGGATCGTTCGATCTTACCACGTGTCAACCATCCAAGGATCTTTAGTAACCGCCTTACTTTACCTCGAGCAATCAGCACCCATTAAGCGATGTCATCGAGCTACCTCGATCTATGTAAGGAACGAGCATTTGTTTAGCCTACCTTTATGTATTGAGCTTATGTGCATCCACCCCTAATCCCAAGCTATAGGAGTGGATGCACGGAGGCCAATTATGTGGTCATGAAAAAATGTACCTCGAGTATGAGGGCTCCCAATGCTCGTTTTTCACAAACATGGGACCAGTGTGCTCTAGGATCAACGTATCCTCGAGATACCCCGAGGATATATGGTAAGTTTCCATGACATTTCTTTTGGTCATCCTCGAGTGTGAGTCCTCGGGTATTTTCCTTAACCAAATTTCCCTTCATGATCAAGCACGAATAGTTCCAACCTAATAATGACTCTAACCCTATCCAAATACCTTCAATTTAACAGTCATAGGTCCAGAAGGAGTTTATCTCGAAAGATATCACAGTTAGTGTAGGATTAGACTTCTGATTGTGGTCGAACACTTATCACAATTAGAATTCGTAAAAGTAAAGAGGTAAAGTCATGTTACGATTGCACCACAGGCCTCTATAAATATGAGATTTTGTATCATTATTCAGGTACATTTTTATATATAATTTCATTGTTCAAAATTTTCACATACTCTCTCTGACTTAAGTATCGGAGGGGTGATGAAGACACACCCCGACGCCTTTATTTCAGGTACCGAAAGATTACATTCGTGCTCATTCACAATCTTCAAACTTGAAATTCAACAGGTGCGCTTTTGGTAGCATCAACATCCATGATCAAAAATCAGATTACTAAAAATTTTATTCAAAAATTAGGTACTAATTAAGTTATTTTGTGTGTGTGTGTGTGTGTGTGTGTGTGTGTGTGTGTATATATATATATATATAACATTTTCCATTGTTTCACTTTCTATTTGTTAAATGCTTTCTTTCTTTAACACCCTACCCCTATCCACACCCAAAAGTAAATATCTTCATTACAGATGCGTCTTCTTTCCCATTCTTTCAATTCTTTTCCTTAAAAAAAAATCTATCTACATACAACGACACTTTCTCTCTCTGTAGATCAGGTCGTCGTCTTTTTCCGACCACCGTCTACTTACAACCATCATCTTCTTACAACCAACATCTTCTTCTTACCGTCTTCTCTAGATAAAATAAGGCTGGAGGTGGAGATGGTGATAGTAGTGTGAGACGCTAGTGTGGGTACAATGGTGGTGGTACATAGTTGCTAGAGAGGGGCTGTAATGTAGCCCTTTTTCCATTCTCTCTCTATGGTGGTGGAGATGGTGGGAGTAGGAGGATGTTTTGAAAACTAGTGGCTGTGGTGCATTATAGGAGGTGACGATGGTAGTATATCACAAGTTTTGATGATGATGGGTAATGGTGTAGGTGGTGATCGTGGGCTGCGAGCAGTAGTGCATTACAGGTGGTGGTGGATTGAGGTACAGATGGCGATGGATTGGAGGTTGGAGAGTTTCTTGTTCAATCTATCGACCCGGATACTGGTCTTACTTTAGGCCTATTTGGCTTGCTGGTTTGGGTTGCGATGGTAATGGATTATGGTGCTGGTTTGCGATGTGTATAAATTTATATGTGGTGACCATCTGTAATCAAATTTATGTTAATTGTGATCGATTACGACTAAATTTGTCTTCATTGTGATCGATTATGACTAGATTTGTCTTAATTGTGACTGTATGTAAACTTTGTCACGATAGTCATAATAAAGGTAAACTTCAGTTGAAGGTGGTAGTGGTGGTGCTTGGAGTAATGGTGGTGGTGAGTGGTCGTGGATTGTGGCGTTGATTTTTGGTGTGTGTAGATTTGTTTGTGATGACCCTTTGTGATCAAATATATATTTATTGTGATTGGGTGTGACCAATTATGTATTCATTGGAGTAAAGGTGGTGGTGAGTGGTCGTGGATTGTGGTGTTGATTTTTGGTGTGTAGATTTGTTTGTGATGACCATTAAGTATATATTTATTGTGATCGGGTGTGACCAATTATGTATTCATTGTGACTGTCTGTGACCAGATTAACTGTGATGCACAAATTAGACTGATTTGGTCACGGACAGTCACACCGAATACAAATTTGGTCACAATTAGTCACGAATAACACATGTCAGTGACTTAGTTACATACAATCGTAAATTAAACAGATTTTATCACAATTAGTCACAAATAAAACAGATATGATCACAAACAATAAATCTATTCACATATAACATAATCACAAATCTCGTCAACTACAATGCAACACTACTGTCACCATACAGTACTCAAAACGTTGCTACAACATCACCATCCCACCACCACCATTAAACAGATCATCTTTGATGCACTTTTATCACCTGCAATGCACCATCACGCATATCTATTTTCTAAACACAGTGCCACCTCACCACCACCACCTATAAAATTATGTGTTTATAAATGTGTATAGAGATAGAAAGGCAAGCTTTGTAGAGAGAACATTTTTTATTTTTGGAGTTTTTTACTGTGAGGTAGGGTGGAGAATGGGTCCGTCGGGGGTGAGGGATGTAGAGAGATTTAAATTTCTGGAGATTTATGGAGTGGGATAAGGTCCGTAGAGTAGGGATTATAATATCAAGAGCTCTGCTTATATTACAGGGGCATGTGCCAGGTTAGACACAAGGAGGGGTATATATATATATATATATATTTTATTTTTTATTTTTTTTATGAATACATTTGGGTGGGGCCCTCGCTATAGTGAGGGGCTTAACTGTGAAACTAATTTCTGTACCTCAAGAATTATTTTAATATCAATATGTTAATATAGAAAAATAATAAATGTATATTATATTATAATTACATATGTAATAATTTGATTTACCATCTGATTTAAGAAATATTTTAAAACGTTTGTTAGTTTTGAAATGTGATCTTTATACGTGGGGATTATGTATTGTTCACTTTTAATAAACTATTGAGCTCAGTCGTTAGTTGATTAACTGAACTTAAGGTTATAACCGTCAATTTCACACACCTACTCATCTTTCTCGTCTATTCGATTCTTTCAAATTCCAACTTCGTTCAATAATTTTCTCAGAATTCCTCCTATATCCTCTTCCCACCCTCTCCTTAACAATGTCCACTCTATCTAGTTTTTCCTCCCAACCAAACCCGAATCCGAACCCTAATTTTCCCTCGCCGATGCTCGAACCGTACCTCGAACAGCAGCAAGAAATGCAACCTGACCCGCCCGATTACGAACCCCAAAACGATGACGTATACTATTCTGATGACAACAACAATCCTCCCCGGAGTTTCGTTTTCCCAGACCCAGACCCGAATTCGGTTTCTGGGTCAATTCCCACGCTCCTTCATGTGTCGTTTAACCAAGACTACGGCTGCTTCGCTATGGGCACTGACCAGGGGTTTCGAATCTATAACTGCGACCCGTTTCGTGAGATTTTCCGGCGGGATTTCGACTGCAACGGCGGCATCGGCACGGTGGAGATGCTTTTCCGGTGTAACATCCTGGCCCTCGTCGGCGGTGGTGAAACCCCTCAGTATCCACTAAACAAGGTCATGATCTGGGACGATCACCAGAGTCGCTGCATCGGGGAGCTCTCCTTCCGGTCGGAGGTCCGCGGGGTCCGGTTACGAAGGGACCGGATTGTCGTGGTCCTCGAGCAGAAAATTTTCGTGTACAATTTTGCGGATTTGAAGCTGTTGCACCAAATTGAGACCATTGCGAATCCTAAGGGCCTTTGCGCGGTTTCGCAGGTGGCCGGGTCGTTTGTCTTGGTTTGCCCTGGGTTGCAGAAGGGGCAGGTTAGGGTGGAGCATTACTCGTCGAAGACGTCCAAGTTTATTTTGGCTCATGATTCGAGGATCGCATGCTTTACGCTGTCACTGGACGGGAATTTGCTTGCCACTGCTAGTAGCAAGGGGACACTGGTTCGGATATTTAATACCCATGATGGCACTTTGTTGCAGGAGGTAAGAAATTGTTTGCAATTCTGCTGCTTTGGATACGTTTATGAAACTACGTCTCTTAAAGCTTTGAGTTCTATTTATGGCTTAATTACATTTGAAAAGAAACGAATGACTGAATTGAGGAAGAAATTGATAAATTCCGTGTTTAGGAAACAGGAGGTAAAAACTAGAATGCTTTTTATAGGAGCCGAAAGTGCATCCCTGTTAATATAGAATTAATTTCATAAATTTTTCTTTTTCCACAATAAACTAATTACTAGCTGTTTTTATCTTGCCTTAGTGGATACTGCCTCAAAAACTGAGGGAAAGTTGAGTGTTTACAACAAAAAACTCATAAAGGGACAACTGCGAACTTGTACCTCTGTTGTACAAACCATATTAAGACAGTTAAACCATATGCAAACCTTAGGAAGTAGAAGCGAGCATTTATAAGTGCAAGGACTTGCAATTAAAAATTGTAAAACTGTTTATATCGGCAAAAACCATTATCAAAACGTGAACAAGAGTATAAATCATGACTTCACAACCCATAAATGAAGTACACGAGTTAATGAATAAAACATGAATAGGTAACATATTGAGTTACAAGTCAACCAATCCATAGCTGTCGTGTATCACCAACAAAAATGATTCATTTACCCTTAAGGCTTGGCCAGAAATCTATAAACAGGCATGACCAGGAAAGGATTGAAAAAAAAAAAAAAGAGTTGAATTTGAATATCTTCCTCCCAAATAACCATTTTAGGAGGGGAATGCTCTAGTTAGGTTAGAGGAATTTGTTGATTATTATTTAGAGGTCAACAAAGAGAATTTGTGTTCTGGTTTTACAAGGTCTAGATGATCCATACTTGGAGGGTACTCTGCTGTGTTTTTTCATGCCAGGGGGAGGTTGAATTACTGGATGCACAAAAGTTCATCAGACTTATCCCCAGGAGTTTATGATATTGTGGTAATTGACTGTTAGTTTTAGCATGTCTAGGAATTCAGGGTGTATTTGATGTAGAAAGACTGATTATGACTGAAATGCCTGATTCTGATCTTTCAGGTTGCAGAAGTGGAGACCAAGTTAACAATTATGTCTTACGAAATGATTTGGGTTTTGTCCTCTTTGTATATCCTGTTTCTTGCTTCAATAGCAACGAAACTTTCGCTGTGTTTTCCAAAAAGTCACGATGGAGTGTATCACTTGGTTTTGTGAATGTTGTGGTCATTTCATTAAATGAAAACAATTTGTTTTGTACGAAAGATGACTGCTGGTTTATTCTAATTTGGAGAAGCTGCTGATACAAATAAGGATGCATTGTGGTGATGCTATCTGTTATTTCTCTTTCATTGCCATCCCGCGTCTATCAGATGTTGAATTTGAACTTATTACTGCTGTTACTTTTTCCTTTTTGCTGACATAGATTGTACTGTTACTCATTTTGTATCGTTGAAGAGTTCTTGTTCTTGTTATCTCTATTTTTTTTATTGTGGTCCATCGATGAACACGTGCTTGTACAAATTAAGGAAAAAAATCCATTTGTGCTTTAGTAGGTTTTTTTCATCATCTTTACTATGAAATTTTAAGTCCTTTGTCAACTTGTTGATAAATTAATTTGTTCTGCATTGTGCTTGTAATCATATGTGTCAGTGTCTTTCTCGATAATGCTGAAGCTGAAAGTGTTCTTTCAAATGCATTTATGGTCAATCAACCTGTGCATTCATGAAACACGGATCTGATTGAAATACTTGGAAATTTGATGCAGGTAAGAAGGGGTGCAGACAGAGCAGAAATATATAGCCTGGCAATCTCGCCCACTGCCCAGTGGTTAGCAGTTTCAAGTGATAAGGGTACTGTTCATGTTTTTAACCTCAAGGTTAGTTTAGGAAACCTTGGAAGTGATAGCTCCGATAGTCCGCCTGATCGAAATCTTGCTGCAACCACATCTAGTTCTTCTCTCTCGTTCATCAAAGGTAAGACTTGGTCTGAAAGTTGTACTCCCCTTAATTAACAATTCAACATTATTTCACACCGCATTCTTTTCGTCATGGACGAGCTACTAGTGGAAAATTTATGAAAGGTAAATATTTGATTAATGGGGAACTCAATGATCAGTTACATTCCTGATGTATTTGACATCAGCAGAAAATTGAGAGACAGTCATCAACGAGTTAATAGAAGAATTTTATATATCTGCTGCACGTGAAGGAAGAAGTCTGATAAAACTGCATGTAAAGGAAAAGAACACACTTTGTCGAAAGTGAGCACTGTATTAAGTTATTATTTCATTCCTTGAATCTGTTAAAAAAACCCAGTTTTTCTGAAGTCAATGTAGTGTGAAAAGGAGTTTATTGTTATCTGAATTGGATTGTCTAGCCCTTGAAAACCTCATCTTGGTGTGTATTTCCCTGTTTTCCTGGTAAAAAATAAAAACTGCTGCTATTCTACTTTTTTGCTATCCAATTGTCAGTAAAAGCAAAGGTAAGTTTTATTAGTATAAAAAACTAACTTCTAAAATTATGTTTGGTCAAAATAATTAAATTAAAAGTAAGATTGACTCACTTTTAAACACTCCCCGACGTGCTTTTTTACTTTTAATTTATCCCGTGTGACAACCATTTTTTTGAAAAAACATTATTTTGAATAGTGAATTTTTGTAGAATGTGTGGCTAAAAAGTATGAAAAAGTTTTGAATTTAAGTGTAAAATATTTTATTGTGTGAATGTGTAGTTGAAAATGAGTATATAGAAAAAAAAGTTTTAAAAGAATGGGAGACAAACAGGGGCTTAGTTCTGCACTGCTGGCTGCTGCCATGATTCATGACAGAGTGCGTGCAAGCACTTGCATGCTCATGTCTATGACATATATTTGCCTTCCCCCTAGGGTGATCAGTTTGCATTGGCAGGGTATGCAGCGACCATCACTATCATTTTTTAAGTTCTTGATGGCCTCTGGTACTAAACCAGATTACCATTTTGGCAGGAGTGCTGCCTAAGTATTTCAACTCTGAATGGTCAGTTGCTCAGTTTCGTTTGCTTGAAGGTGCTCGATATATTGTTGCATTCGGTCATCAAAAGAATACAGTAGTGATTCTTGGGTTGGATGGAAGGTCAGTTAACATCCTTTTATTGATTTAACTTTTTATGCCCTATCACGTTCACCGTCAGTCAAATTTTCCCATCATCCCCCCTATATAATATGGACCTCAATCTGTACTTGTGTGAGTCCTTACTGTCCAACAGAGACATGACCCTTTAAGCCATATTCCCTATTAAGGGCATGTTTGGCACAAAATATAGGATAGAGCTGGACAATATTAAAGAAAAGATTTAACCTTCTTTTTCTTCTTTACTACCATTGAGTATTATACAATCCAACTTACCAAAAAACTCGAATATTTTCCTCTCTCTCTCTTAGATGAGTAGAATAATTGATTTTTTGTAGAACTACATGCAGTTTCTATCGGTGCAAGTTTGACCCGGCAACTGGTGGAGAGATGACCCAGCTGGACTATCACAATTTCCTTAAGCCTGAAGAAGCTTTCTAAGGATATGCAGAAATGTATATATGTCCGTGGTTAGATTTCTCGAGTCATCCTCTTTCCATGCTGATTTGTTGGTTAACAATGATGTAATTATCCAAATGTAGATGTCATATAATTAACAGTTTGAACTGGTCAATCTAAAATAATTGAGAAGTATAAAATGCAAGTAGTATTTTGTGGTTACATTTTCTATCAGTGTGCAGTTTTATCATCTTTGCATTAGTATTCTGCATAGTCTATTGTTGACTGGGGTAGGAAAAACCCTGGTACATTTGTTGTGGGGTTAGCTACATTGAAGAAAGCATCACCTGAAACCAAAGGCTCGACTAACTTTATATTGCGGTATAGGTGGGAGATTATCTTCATAATAATTCGTAGCTCTTATTTGTGTGAGGCGAGGAATGATTTTGGTAGTTGGAATATGTCTTGCTTTAATACCTGATCAAGTTCTGGTTCATATTCTAAAAGACCTATCATACAATAATTCAGTGAATAGATTTATGGTTAAATGGCCTTTTGAGATTGTCAATGAGCATTCTCATTGCCAACTGATCGACTTGAACCTTGGCCTACGGATTCACCCACTTGTCCCTGTTTGCAGGCTGTGACCAGGGAATGTGGGAAGCCAAGAGGGTAAATAGTATTTGTATGCTTAATTTCTTTTGTACTCCTTTTA